GGGCCCCATGGGCGGCGCGCCCCGCCATGGTCCTCGCCGGCAACAGCAGCCCCGTGTGCGGGCAGCTGCGGGCGCTGAGCGGCGGGAGGATGATCGCGGGCTCGCTGCCCCCCCGCCTGGTGAAGCTGGCCCAGGAGGTGGGCGCCAGCCCCGCGGGCCCCGCCGGCTGGGGGGGCGGCAACGACACGGGCTGCGGGGAGCAGATCCTCAGCTACGGCCAGGCCGAGAAGGTGGTCATCGGGGCCGTGCTGTCGCTGCTCACGCTGCTGACCATCGCGGGCAACTGCCTGGTGGTGATCTCCGTCTGCTTCGTCAAGAAGCTGCGGCAGCCGTCCAACTACCTGATCGTGTCGCTGGCGCTGGCCGACTTGTCGGTGGCCGTGGCCGTGATGCCCTTCGTCAGCGTCACGGACCTCATCGGGGGCGAGTGGATCTTCGGGCGCCTCTTCTGCAACGTCTTCATCGCCATGGATGTCATGTGCTGCACGGCCTCCATCATGACCCTGTGTGTCATCAGCATTGACAGGTGAGTGCAGCCTGCGGGCCCGCACGCTGCGCGGGGGCCACCGCTTCTCCGGGCTGTCACTTTTGTTGCCCCAGCACTGGGTGGGGGGGAGGCCCTTATCCAACTCCTGCATACTTTCAGCACACCCCACCAGGGAGGGGGGACTGAACCCCCCACCTTTATAGGCCTCCATCTCCCAGGACTCAGCTTCTCTTTGCCTAACAGTGGCTGCTACACCTGAGAATTTCTTTCCGCTCCTCCCATGTAACCGGCTAACTTGCTGGGCCTGGCTTTCTGCATGTGGAGACTTGAGGAAGAATGTCTTGCACTGGAAAGCTTTTTACCCCAGTCACGGAGTTGGGCGAATACAAAGATGTCACCCTAAGAAATCCTTGCCTCTCGCACTGGGTCGCTTGGGAAGCTTGCACGCTGGGGTCTGGGTTGCCGGGTTGGGCTGAGTAGGGCACTTCCAGTAGAGGTCTCTGGTGCTTGCTTATTTTTGCTTTGGGAAGCCGTGAAGACAGTCTGTGTAGAAAAGCCGAGGGTAACTTTAAAAAAAACCCCAAAACTCCAACCAAAGCAAGTTATTTGAAGTAAAGCCTGGCAGGATAGGTGCACAGGAGTGAAAGAGTTCTTCTGGGATGTCATTCAGCAATGACACTATTGTCCCGTTGGGAAGCTTTGCTGCTAAACTCTATCTTTGTAAAGGAAAAAAAAATCATCAAGACTAACACAAAGGACAAGGTTTACGCAGACTTTGCTCAAGTCTCAGTTTGCGTGACAGATTAAGCAGGTTTGTATCAATAACAAGTTTACAGATGTACCATAGCCTCTTTACTGAATACAGTTACGAACATAGACCCCTTTGGGCCTGATTTTCCTCACGTTTACATCAGTGCAACTCAGCTGAACTCAGTGGGATCACTCTTGATTCATTCAAGTGTAAATGAGCAAAGAATGAGGTGTCTAGGCTTAGTTGGCTTTTGGTTATGCTGGTGCAGCTCTAGGACTGCCACATGCAATGTGGATTAATGCAGCTGTGACTGAGAACAGAGTTTGGTCCCTTCTTTATGCTTTACTAGTGCTTTCTTCTCTGCCAAAGAGCCAAGCTGCTCCTCTTCTGAAGAAATAATTTGTAAAAACTTTGGATGCTGAAGTGATCCCAGTCAGTGTAATGACTGCTGAAGGACTTAGCAGTAATTCATTTCTAACGTTTTAAGAACCATTTAAGACCTATTCTGCCAGTACCTTAGCTCTCCACAGCAATAGGGAGGGGAGGCTCGCTTCTCTGCTTGTTCCGTTTTGACGCAAGTTAGTCCGTAGATTATACTTCATGCCTCAAGGTACCAAAATAGCAGGGCCAATGGAGTGAAGTGGAGTGCTGTTTCACCACCAACGTCCCTCTTTCCATTGGGATATCCACTGTGCTGAGTGCCACAGTGCTAGCTCCATAAATCTTGTATCACCTGGGATTTCCTATGTCCAAAATGGTTTCACCAAAGGGCCATTAAAGGCTTGTGTGTCCAGGTAGTGTAATGGAGCTGGAGCAAAAGAAATAATTTGGTTCTTGTTGGAGCTAGTGAGATTTTTTGCTGCTTCTGTCAAAAAACCTTGGCCATATCACATTTTTAGAAAATTCAGAAACACACAAAATATTCTATCACAGAAAAATTGTTATGTGTTTTCTGTATGGCTCTGAAACCCTTAGATAATCACATTGGAACTGCAAGTTGATTTTATGAAACATCTGTCCCTTTCATCGGTCCCTTTCACAGCTGCTGGCATTGGTAGGGATGCAGGAATTGCCTTACTGGAGCAGAGAAATGGTTCATTTAGTCTCACATCCTGTCTGAAATTGGCCTGTTTCAGTTACTTCAGAAGAAGGTGCAAAAATCTTGCAGTACACATTTATGATTAAGGTACTCTCCAGAAGAGTTTCCTGCAACAATCGGGGTTTTTTTATGTCCCAAAATGTTAGGATTTATATACATTCCAAAACACTTTATCAGAATTTGCTGTTGCAGTGCTGCATACTTTTATTAACCCTATAGATGGCCGGTGCTTATTAGGATCCTGATACAAACCTGGTGGTAAGTTCTATAAGCTAGCTTTGCCTGAGCCATAAAGTATTTTTTTTCATCAGTTTTTTAAATTTTCTGTTTTTAAATTTAATTCTTGTAAAGAGCAACTGCCTGATCTCCCCTCTCTCTACTGTTTATTGTTCTGTACTTGTTTCCAAGGTGAACAGTCCCATTTTTTCAGTTTCTCCATATGGAAGCTTTCCACATCTCTAACCATTCCTTGCTTCCCGTCTCTGAACCCCTTTTCCATTTATTTCTGCTCTCTTTTTTTGAGATAAAATAATCCAAACAGAACAGTCCAGGTAAGGATGTGCTACTGATGACAGTATTATGGTATTTTTCACACCATTTCTTATATCCTATCATTTTATTTGCTGTTTTTGGTACATTGAACAGATGTCTTCATTGAGCTATCCACAATGATGCTCTCCCATCCTGAGGTATTATGCCTGTGTATCTAAGAAACAGTGTGACCCTTTAAGAATGAAGGCAGGGTAGATTTGCACCTTACAGATTAACTAAATCAGAGATGCATAAACTTTTGTAAGCAACACCTTGCTTCATCAGTGCTGTGAAGGACCCTTACATGGGATTCAAAATGCCTTGAAGAGCATTTGATGGAAATGTCCACATATTTTTTTTATCTTGCTTAAGGAAGAAATGTTGCTGGAATACAGAACTTCCATTATATCACGAAATTATACACTAAGGCAGAAAGTGGTTGAAACTGATTAGATGGGAGATAAAGCAAAAGACCCAGAGATGCCAGAGGATCAAGTAAGATACTAGTGCAAGTCTGACAAGGTCCTGTACACCGTGTTTAAGAGTACCAGCAACACCTAAATAGTGCCTCAAGCTTTCGGTGGCCTATCTGGCCCTGGGGTGAGAGGAGTGAGTGAATTTTACCCTCTCCAGGAATAACTGTAGTATAGACTGAAGCTTGGCACTGTGGAGCAGTGCCTAGAGCCTGTGTTGTTATCCAGTTTGTCTCCCTGCTCGGCAAGGGGGGCTAAGTTACGTTAGGACCCTTCTTTGTTTTTTTCATTTAGAGAACTCTAACTTTTTCTGGAACAGAGATGGGAAGAGAGACAGTCCAAGGGAAATATTTGAAAGAACTTCAGCTTTTAATGTATAATAGTTTTTTGTTTTTGATTTTTGTTATGCTTTAAAAAAATCAGGAAGATTTCTGAGTTAATTTAGAAGGCAGGGAGAGGGGTTGGGATGTGAAATTACCTCCGTGTATCAGCCAATCAGTAGAAGATGCTTGCATGACTTAAATCCCACTGAAAATTAGAAGATTCTCAGACCTTGTGTTGGCTCCGTGTGCAGAGGGAAATTTCACCCTCTGTTGTGATGCACAAGAAGAGTATGCTTGCAATTGTGTCAGCTCAGCTGAGTTCATATAATATGACTGAAAATGCCTGATATGCGGCTAGTGGGTACTTGCTGCATAGCCAGCTCCCATGGCTGGAAACCTGATTGCCTGTAATGTAATGTAGCAGGGATTTTCAGGTATGTTAAACTAACTCAATTGATAAGCACTCTCATTTGCTCCTTAAGATGCATATGTTAAGATGGCCGTGTCCACATGAGCATGGACATTTGTTTCCCTGGGGACAAGAAGCAGCAACACACCGTGTGCATGGCAGGTTACCCTGGTGAGGTAGGGGAGGCTGAGGCCAGCGCTGAGCTGGCCCCAGCAGCCTTACCTGGGGTCCTCCTGGGGCGGCAGCAGCAGCAGTCCTGCTGCTTAGAGCCTGGCTGGCAGCCGGAGTGTGGCACTGGCCAGCCAGGCTCTTGAGCATGTAAAATGGGTATTTGTGCCTAAATACTGACTTCAGAATTCACATGCAGGATGCAAGAAATTCACCCGTTGGGTGTAACTGAACATCTAAAGTTGTTTAAAGTTCTTGAACCAAAAAGGTAATCCATATCACTGCTCCAAATAGTAGTAATGAATGTCACGTTTAGACTGCCGGGCTGAAGAAAGCTCCCCCAGCCCTGAGCAGCACTGCGCAGTGTGGCAGGAGCTGCTGGAGATGAGGGGAGAAAAACAGCTATGCTGGGCCAAGCCACTTTCCCCTTGCCTGCAGCAGTTACTCCCCCTCCTGTTCCTGCTGCTCCTGAGCCACTCCGGGAGGGGGTGGTGGGTAGGGGAGCTTCAGCTCAGCAGCTTGTGCCCACACATGGAGTCCAGCTGCAGCCCCCGCCTGGGCACCTTCCGCCCTCCAAGTAGGGTGGCCACCATAGAGGACATTCTGGTTTTCTGCTACTCTGTCCTCCACTGATACGAAACCCGTTGCCTTTATATCATAAAAGCACCTGGTTTCTTATCAATAGAGGACAACCAGGCTGTCCTCTATGATGGCCACTCTACTTCCAAGGCATCCTGGAGCTGGAGCTCCTTGGGTAGGGCATAAGCTTCTCGCCCTCCCACCCAGAGCAGCACTGTGTGACATGGCCATGGTAGCAGCAGCTGGGACATAACAGCCTCCTGCCTTGGCCAGCCTGCAGCTGCTTGTGTAACTGCAGCCCTGGGTGCTGCACAGGGCAGGGGGCATGGCAGTGGCTGCTGCCAGGCTCGGGGCCCACCAGCACCTCCAAGCTAGCTGGGGAAGCCTGCTCCCCAACCAGCCCCTACCTGGTGGGGCCAGATGCCAGCCAGCAGGGCCCCTTGGAGGGGTGGCAGCATAGGCAGTGGAAGGGGAGGCTAATGGGGCTCAGCACCTCCCAACACAAGGCAGTAGGAGGCATTGCCTTAGGGCAGCCTGGCTGCAGGGTCCTGAAGCGGGGGATGGGGAGGGGCAGGCACGCTAAGCTACCCTGCATGCTCGCAGGCAGGTAAATTTCTTTTAATCTCTCTCTTTTTTTTTTTATTTCCATGGGCTTGGAGGAAGGGCAGATAGAGACCCCCACAGTGCAGGAGAGAGTAGGGTAGGG